TTTTCTGAATAAAGATGATTCTGGTTAATTAATAAAGCAAATCGTACTGTTCAATTTTTTCTCAAAATTCATTTTCTTTGAACAAATAGTTGATGTTTTTCAACTTTTCATCGCCTTTTGTCGTCGGTTAAAATTGTTGAGATTCTTGTTTGACTTTGTTTTTTTCCTTGGTTCATGTTGTTTGTTTCAAGATTAATGGATGAAGGAAATGAGACAAGAAAATGTTGAAGAGAAAAAAATGAGTCAAGATAAATGATGATGGAAATGATGATAGAAAAGGACAAAAGAGAGAAAAAAATGATTCAACCAGAATTCATGGTTAAACAAGATTCAAATGTTTTATGGTTTTTAGTTTGAAATAAACACTCCAAGTGCTGGGAGTGAAAAGCGAAAAAAAGTTAATTTCGTTAATCAATTTGAAATGAAGTCTCAACCTTTCCATGTATCGATTGGCAGTCTTTTTTAATGCTAATAATAACCATCTTAAGGGAAGGAAAAAGTTGTCTTTTCAGTGTAATATAAACGCTTTTCTTGGTTCACCTTTTTTTGCCATAAAGCAACTCATTACCGTAAAAATAGTGGAAAATATTAGTGATGATGAAAAAAGATGAGGAAGAAGGAAAAAAAAGAGTTTCTCATCTTTACTCTTATTATCTCCTTTTGACTCTGGAAATTTTCTTGAAACACTTTTTTTCTCTTTTTGTGCTCTTCTTCCAGATAACTGATATTATTTCAAGTGTTGTGATTGAACTTTTTTTTCTCTCCTCAGTCTGCAACTTTTTCGCTGCCTTTTCTTCACCTACATGAAATCAGGGAAAATCAGGAAAAGGTAGAAAAAAGTGAGAACAGAAATTAAACTTGCATGACTGATAATTATGAATTTTGGGAAATTCTGAGTGAATGCGAATCTTTTTTTCTCCCAACTTCATTTTCTTGCTTCTTCTGTCAGGTAATGAGCCTTGCAGTTGCTTGCTGTTTCACGAGTGAACTTGTTGGATGGAAATGAGTGAAAGGTGAATTGGTTTGCTTTTTGGGACTGGAAATGGGTAAAGAGAGTGAAAATAGATGAGTTTGGTTTGAGGTTGATGAAGGTAGATGAAGATACAAAAGGATATTTGTCAAAATTTGACAGGTTAAAAGCTAGGGATGGTAAAAGGTTGAGTGGGAGTTGAGGTGGTAAAAGGATGATTGGAATGGCGAATCAACTTTGACGAATATCATTCGTTTTTTTCGTTTTTTTGTTGTTTTCTGCCTTTTCTTCTCTTCCTTTTCTTGTTCTGTCCCTTTTCTCTGACCTTGCTGAGTAAAGCAGAAATTGGATGCTCTGAAGATGATGAGCTATGGTAAACATGGCAAACATGGTTAAATATTGAATTATAAAAGAGAAAAGTTTTCAAAATTCGATTCTCATGATTATTTCACAATCACTATTTATGAAGTTTAAATTATGGATCATGAAATGAATATCATGAACAGATTCATGTTTTTATATTCAATTGGTTTACTGTTTACTTGGTTAATGAGATTTCATTTTTACATGCTTTATGTTTGTGCTTTTTTAGTGTTCAGTTTCTTTGGTCATAATCGTTATTCAGGATGAAAAATGGTTTTGAAATGTTGGAATGAAATAAATGCTGGAACAATGGAATTTGCAATTAATTTGGATTAATCATGATGAGATTAAAATAATTAGTAATTCAAACTTTTCAGTTTTAAGTTTTTTTTCATTCATTCCTCATTACAAAGCATTCACTCTTATTGAGGTTAATTTTGGTCATCTTCATCATTCTCATTGGTTCAACTTTTTTTCCTAGTTCTGAAAGTTGATGAATTTCTGTTGGGATTATAAAGAATTAATTAATTAAGTTGTTTTTAATTTGTCGTTTCACATCATTTGAGCATTTATTTCCAGACAAACAAAGATTTCAATTAAAAAAATCATTTGCTTCAAACATTCATAACCTGAATGAAAACCTTTCACCTTTTAGTCACTGAGATTGCAAGCTAATGCTCAGTCAGAGCAACTTGTCTCAATAATGCAAAATAACCTGATGAATAGCAAGCGTTGGGCAAGCCTTTGCCTAACCTAACCTTACCTAACCTAACTTTGAACCTTTAATCATTTTTAACAGCCTTAGTCAATCATGACTAAGGTTCAAATTCATCAAGTCAAATCTTTAAAGTACTGCTTTTTATACGAAGCAGGGTTGGTTAAACTTTGACTCAGACCTGTTGTTAAATTTTACTTGTGATACATTGAACGTCACAAGTTTTTGTTACTTAAACATTGATTTTCGTGGCTTCGAAGGCTTAATTGTGTTTGGAATAAATTGCTCAGGTAACAAAATGTAATGGGCAAACACATTTTAATTGTAAACAAGTCAACAATTGCATATTTAGTGAGTTAATTAACCAGATATTGAATTGTAAATTAAGTTTAGGATCAAATCAACTTCGAACATTGAGTAAGCCAATTAAATGAATAAACATTGGCTATCATAAAATATGGCTCATCTTAACCCAGGACAAGTTTATAAATCGTTTTTTGCCGATAAAATTATTCAACTTGAGTTAACCTACAAGCTGATCTTGTTTCAAAGCCATTTCTCATCAAGTAAAACAAGACATTAATCTTGGTCTAATCCATTACCAATTGATGTCTAGTTGGTTTTAACAAGCGATCGCTAAATTTACTTTGACATTTGACTATTCATCACAGAAGCATAACCAATACAAACAATTCGTCACAATTAACCACTGACAACGGACAACCAGCCTTTCCTGGACTAAATCCCAGTCAAATTGAGCATCTCGCATCATTCACCATCAATTAGATGGTGAATCTCAAGATGAATGGTGATAATCAAATGTTACTAATTGTCTATCAAATTTGAATTGAGTTGCAATAAAGTCTTCTTTTTCTCGATGCATTTAAATTAGAAACTTTGAGTAACCCAGAGAAGCAAATAAGAAAATTCAACATTTACTTTTTCGAGTTTCTCCAAGTTCTTTCTCTGTACAAACAATTTTCATTGTCATTTTCATTTAAATTTACCTTCATTCGTTGACTTGAATCTGCAGTTGCACTGTTTACCGTTTGAAAAATAACAGTAAACATTGCAAAACAAATGAAGAAAACAGGGGAAAAAGAAAAAAGGAAAACAAGGTTTTCATGATAACTCAACAGAACAATAACAACAAGAGAAACAAAAATTCAAAGTTAACTCGAGTTTAACCAAGAATAATACTCAATTTTTCATCAATTTTAAATTCATCAGAACTCATTCTCATTCTGTATTAATATAAAGATGATTATGATGAGGAAAAACAGAATTGGAATGAACAATGAAAAGTAATAACCGAAAAAAAGAGTTGACTGGAAACAGAAGAAAAGTTTAGACAAATAAACAAAGAAGGAAAACATTCAAATTCGAAGTGAAATGCTAAATGCTGGAGCAATGTAATGATAAAAGGAATATTCATATTCACATTAGAACTTTTTCCCAGTTCTGTTTCATATTTAAAGTTTAGATTCATGAAGGCAAATGATGAGTATAATGATGAACAGATGAAGAGTGAAGCAAAAAAATGACTGAAAACCAAATGATTACATTCCTTTGAGAATCGGTAGGCAACTTTAACCTTCACCGAAAATCATTAAAGGGATAAATTTATCATCAAGAAGTTGAATAAGAAAGTTTCATATTAAACATTAAACAAGTTTCAGTTAAACTCGTTCATTAAGCCTCTTCTCATGCAGCCTTTCCTCAACCATCTTTGTCCTCTAATTGACCAAAGATGCTCTGGGAGTTCGATCCCAGTTGACTTGGATTTTACTATCATATCTGAGATGATGATGATTACCATGCAGAATTGATGAAAATAGACTTTTCTCTGTCGTTCATTAAACCTTATTCTGGTCAATTTGACTTTTCCCGTTTTTTTATGTTCACGTAAATAACTTTAAATAATGTTTGAAAAGGTTCGAGAAAAAAGTCAATAATAATCTTTATGAACGAGGAAAATGTTGCTCAGTTGATTCACTTAGATGATAATGATAATGATAACAGTGAATGTATGCAAAAAGATGAAACCAGTGAACCATTTACCTCAATTGACAAGTAAAAGGAAAAAATCATCGATCATCGAGAAAAAAAATGACTTCTCATTTCTTGTGAGGAAAAAAAGTTCAACTTTATTTGTTGGGAATATCGAGGAAAGAGAAAAGGAGAAACATGATAAATTTGCAACAAAATTCAGTTTTTCTGGATTCACTTCATTCGTAACGAAGTCTGAATATTGGAATTGACTTTTGTCGATCAAATGGACGAATGAAACTGTTAATTCCAATCTTGATTTCAATTTTTAAATGACAGCATTTAGGAAAATCTTTACTCAAAAACTTTGTTCTTTTGTTCAACATTATCGATTATCGGTTTGCTCGTGAAAAATGGACGAAATTAAGTTTGAAATCGAATTTGGAAAATGAGTTTTTTTAATTTTTCTAATATTTCATTCAATTTGATGCTAGTTCTTGAGTGTTTTCCTCATGAAACTGAATCGATTTCAAGTAAGAGTTATCAATATATCTAATGATTATGAAAAGAATGAAATGAAGAAAAGGTCAAAATTAAAAGTTAAAAGTTTAATATCAAAAGTTTTCCAATCGAGAAGAATCGATTTTTCATTTTTCGTTTTTCGTTTTCAACTTACATGATTGTCGAAATTAAATTTGAAAGTTTGTTCAGGAAAGAATAGAATGCTTTCTCTGAATCTTTTAATCAAAAGCAACTTGAATATTGTTTGATATCCAAGGTAAGCAAAAGTGTTTTCAGTAAAAGAACTTTTCTTTTCAAGTTTTTTTTACTCTTTCTGAATTTATTTCATCTTTTTTCCACTTGAAACTGTCATTCGAACATGAAAAGCATAATTAATACTTTTATGATGAAATTGTAACTTTAAAATGGATTGATTTAAAATGAAATTGTTCAAGTTCTTACCTGAAATATCTGTCAAAAGATATGATGAGCAAGTTTAAAACTGAGGCATTTGAAATTAAATAATCAATAGCAAGCCAAGTATCACATATAAATGGTCCGAGTGGCCATCTGTTCAATAGAGTGTAAAGTGAAAAAAGTGGCATTGATATCAAACCTGAAATGAAAGGAAAGCAAAAAAAGTTTGTCAACAGCGAAAAAATTTGTTGAAACAGATGAAGGAAAAGATGAAAAAGAAAAAGAACAAAATTGATAAATGGTTCTAATTAAAGTTCTCTCTTTTACCATCTTCAATCTTAATTATCACCACTTTCAACTCTTGAACATAGTTTTCCAATTCGAGGTTACGGTCTCATGTAAGTTATTTTCAGCAAAATGTTTCGCCACAAAGATGTCAAACTAAACCACTAATATTTGTGCATTTTTGTATTACAAGGGATTCCAATGATATCATGTATCTTTCCGGAAACCCAACTTGGCTAGAAAAACTTAAAATTCATATTTTGAAAACGGTGTGAATGGAAAACAACCATAAAATACATTTCATTGGCCCCTTGACTATCATTAGAATGTCATTTACCATAATCGAATCTTTTTTCCTGGACTGATTTATGTTTGTCACAAATTGATGGCTCAAATATTTTTTAACGTAGGAACCGTCAGAAGTGTGAAATCGATACTGAGATTAGAAATACTGATTATTAGTAATTCCTTGACCATTACTGATCATTTGATTACGTTGGTTTAACTGAAAAACTTCAACAGGCAATGATAGCAAGTTGGTTAAGATGAGAGGTACAACTCAATAATAATTGCTGAAAATGCACCAATTTTTTTCGTTGAGTACTTTCAGAGTTTTTGAGTTTATCCACGTATATGACAAATTCTTTTGCAGAACGCAAAGACGAGACTTCAGCGTTTTATATTGCGCTATATTATGGTCATTTTCGACGAGCACAATAAAATCATAATTTGATGTGTTGTAGCGAAATATTGCGGACAAATCATTTAAAAGTTCAATTTCTGTAGGTCCACTGCTACTATATTTCCACGTTTCTTAGACGTCCCGGTTACTAGATTTCTTGATTGTTCTCCTCGCACAGTAACGTTTATCACAAGTTTTTCTGGATTCTCTGAATAATTACTTTCAAAAGCTTTTTCTTTGCTTAAATAGTTGGTCAAGCAACTTTTTTTTCATAATTTTTTGGGAATCGTCACAAGTGGCAAATCGATACCGAGATTATATTAGACCTTATTGAAACTGATAAAACGAAATTAGCTGAACATAACTTTTGCAGGGAGTTAATTTAGCTTTTTCGATGACTTCTTCTGAAGTTCAGGGCATTAGCGGTAAAAAAAGTTTCTTTTCTAGAATAACGCAGTGACCTTAAATGATAAACTTTTACAAGCAACACTAGACTTGAAAGTTTTTTAATATCAAGCTCAAGGTCATTCAAGTTCAATTCGCTATTTGACCTCTAATTGGCATTAGAATGGCATTTCGTAAATACAAAACTTTCTGCATCGGTAATGTCTGTTAGAAGTTCATAACTCATACTGGCCAAAAGATATGATTGATTCCATATTGCTCAGTTAATAAATTTGTTTTGTGAAAAATTCAATTATATTTCCGATAATAAGAGTTATGTCCATGGGACTAAAATTAACCAATCTGAAAAAATTTTTCTCTCAGAGAATGACCTTCTAATGTCAATTAAAGGTCAAATAGCGAATTGACCTTGAATGACCTTGAGCGCGAGATTGAAGTAATTCTAATAAAATTTCAAGTCTAGTGGTGCTTGTCAAAATTTTCTATTGTTTAAGGTCACTGATTTATTTCAGAAATAAAACTTGTTTTTAGCGCTAACGCCCTGTATCTCTGTTTTTTTGAATTGACAAGGATCAGCTTTCGTGAGACACTTCCTTAATTTTAACGAAAGAATGATTCGTTAGTAAAACTTTTTACTAATTCTCATGACACAATTGAATATCAATGCATGCTTGACTTAAATAATTATTGTCAACATTAGTCATAAAAAGTATTTGTCTTCCAATAGTTGAAGTTCATTTTTCCATTCATTCATAATTCTGTTCATTTGTTGAAACTCATTACTACTTGTGGTCAAAGCGATTAGTTGAGATTCTTTAAACGCTTGGATAACTCACAACTCAACTCAAGTTTCAAAGGTTTTCTTACCAATGAAGGTAACATCACTCATCGTGATTACATTATTGTTATCATTTCACTGACTCGAACCTCAAAAAATACAATTCTGCCTTCCAAAGGTCTTATCTAGAATTATAACTTTATTCATGTCATCATCCTCATGCTCATTCACTTTTCAATCTTTACGTTAAGCCTTCTGGGAGGTGAAAAACTCCCACAAGTTTATCATCTATTTTTTGTATCGTTTCATTTCATCCCTTTTCCCTTTTTAACTTTCCATTACAAATTGTCATCTATTAGCTTTCAGATGAACAATTGATTATAAAATGATTAATTGATTGGATTTGTTTCAAACTTTTGCAAAGCTTTGTTTTTCATTCGCAGTTTAATCATTTTGGTGCTTCATTTTTTCCTTCAACTGATAAACTTATATCGACTTTAATAAGCTCAAGATGTGCATCGAAATGATGCTGCTTAAGTCAAATTCAATTTTGTTTATTCCGGTTCATTCTTTTTCTTTTTTCAATGGTATCAAGATGAGAATAATGAATAATTGAAACTTACCAATTAAGAAATCAGCAATTGATAATGATAAAAGGAAATAATTTGAGATTGTTTGCAGTTGCTTGTCCATTTTGAATGAAATCATCACCATAACATTACCAACGATAGTGATTATACTGTGAAAAGGAAAACTAAAGTTGATTGAAAAATATTCATTGATAAGCTTTACAAAAGATGACAAATCCTGAGATCGTATTCATCAAGCTATTGACTTCTTAGTTTATTTTAGCCAATAACTCGATGAATTCAGAAAAGTTCAATGATATTCAATGAAAGAGTTCAATTTGCCAAATCACTATTTTAGAGTAAATTGAAAAGATAATCTTCGATTGGGAATTCGCCATAAATTCCAATTAGTCGGTTAATTAAACAGTTTGCTCATGTTATGATTGTATTTATTGATCAAATGCTGTTCTCCAAATCAATATTTAAAGTCTCATCACTTACATCAGACAATATATTAATAATAATAAGATTGATCCCTGGAATACCAATTGATCTGAAGATGTGTAAGTTGCAATTGGAATAGATATTCTGATAGCTCAGGTTCATCATCCAGAAACGAGAATAAAATTACAAACTACAAGCTTTGAAAAAATTTTCGTTCGCATTGAATTCTCATGAAAATTCACAAATTCTTAATGCTAACACCAACAAGAGTTTAAGGCTAATAATTGAAAAACCAAGCTTAAAGACAGCAAAGCTCAAAAGCCAGAAAAGTCAACTCATAAGAGTTGAAATCCAAGAGACTAATTGTTGATGAAATGAGTCAATGCTAATTTTTCACTTCAACTGATTGAAAGATCATCTAAACCTCTTGGTTTTATTGAAGCCGATCTCTTCCTCTTGAACTTAATAAAATCTTTTATTGCTTTGCTTTCTTTACTTTCAATGCGTTTTGAATTTCTCCCAATGTCAATGTCTTTTTGTGCTGATCGTTCAACTGTCTCGACCAAGAAAAAAGGCCTATTCAGTGATGTTCACTATTGGAATTTTCGGTTCTAATTCGATGACGATTTCAGGTTTAGTTCAATTTAGTTTTGATTCTTTCTTTAGTCGTTTAGTTGCTCTTTGACTCCAACAATTGAAAACTTATTTGTCATAGTGATTTGACTCAACCTTCACAGATGAGTGTATAAATGAGTGCAGAAAGTGAATGCTGGGAAAAGCTATTGAAATTGGTAAACAAACTTGAAATTAGTTTACCTGAAGCAACCAGTAATAAAGGCAATTATGATGGTTTCTGCGATGGAAAAAGTTTCAGGTTCTTTAATAATGTTATCAGTGGGTGGTGTCCATGTTTCATTGTTGAACAAAGTAACTTGTTGCGGGTCTTCATTCAAGTTGATGGTGATCGTTGAAGAATCGCCAAACAGTTCCATGTTAAGTGGTAATAAAAGAGAAGCAATAATTGATAGTGACTCTTGTTTAACTGGAAAGGCCAATAAAAGGGTGACAATAACAATGTCCAGGTATGCATATTGTTGGTTATGATGGTGAATTCAATAAGGTTAAGATGAATCAAATAAAACAAAACACACGGTCAATATTCAGACCAAACAGACATGAAGTCAAAATATTCAATTTAAACAAGTTTATTCAAAATTGTTAAAGATGATGAAGAAGCAATTGACAGATTCAACTTAAGTGAATTAACACCAAGAGGACAATACAAAAAAGATACAGAAACTAGTTAAGTTCAAAACAGACTGAATACAAGACAAAGATACACACTGAGTGTTAAGGTGACATTTTAGGTATTTATAGTAGGGCAGGTAAGACAGCCCTTTTGAGTCCTCGGTGAGTAAGAGTTTGTTTGACGGTTAAGATGGACGAGTGGAAGAAAACCAGGAAATTGAGTTCCTCTAGGGATTTGTGTTTGTACGTAGCAAGAGGTTGAAAATAGCTTAAGTAGGTAAAAATGGTCAAGTTGAAGGGTCAAAATAGCTTCTAGGTTTAAGAGGTGAAATTAGATGTTGTAGTTAGTTAGATTAGGCCAATAGTAAATGATTAAAGAAAAGATCAAGTTATTAGGATGAATGGTTGAGGTACAGTGGGCACTTTCCCTAGGACTTTTGAGGGTTCATAGTTCATGGAGAAACTGAGGTTTTCTCATGAACTATGAGTCGTACAGGTAAACAAATGTTACCAACAGATTTGTCTTAACGAGAGGAAGCTAACGATATGTAGAAATATCGAGGAATACCAGAGGTTCCTGATTCAGTAGCTACATATAATGAAATGTACGGGAAAAGGTAAAAATAAGGGTTTTTCATAGTTTACTCTAAAATGACTTATCAGGTCAAAACTAATTATGAATCATTAAGTTCATGATGATGAACTATGACTGATTAAAGTGTTAAATATTAGTCAGAGTCATTATTGGTGAAGTTGGAAGATGAAACGAGAAAAAGTGAAAAAGTCAAAATTTGAAATGAATTTAGATTAAAGGTAAATCATGACAGATAAGTCATATTGAACATTTAAATGAAGGGTAAGATTAGTTTAACTTGTAATGAAACAAGTAAAGTTGGTATTTTCAACCAACAGCCTCCCTTGCTAGGAACAAACACAATTAACTGATGTTGAGCAAATTGACACATTTACTCAAACTTGCTGGGGTTAACGATTTAGTTAACATATCGGCTGGTTGTTTAGTTGTTGGAATATACTCAATACGTATTTTACCATTTTCTTGATGGTCTCGAATGAAATGAAAACGCATATCAATATGCTTTGTTAATTTGGGTAAACAGCTATTTTTGGATAAAAGGATCGCTCCTTGATTGTCGCTGTAAATGGTGATTGGAGTAGTCAAGTTAACATGTAATTCAGTTAACAACTGAATGTACCACAAAACATCTTTAGTACATTCCGAGATTGAAACGTATTCAGCTTCGGTTGTCGATAAGGCGACACTTTTCTGAAGTCTCGAAGCCCAAGAAACTGGTGAATCTCCAAGTGTGACGGTAAAACCATTTGTTGACTTTCTTTTAACCAAGTCACCACCAAAGTCAGCATCACAATAACCATGTAATTGAAGATCAGGGTTAGGATAATTGTAAATGATGCCATGATCAATTGTACCTTTAAGGTATCGGAAGATTTTCTTTATTGCTCCCCAATGAATCTCATTATAACACGAATTAAATTGACTTGCTTTGTTGACCTGAAAGGTAATGTCAGGGCGAGAAATGATGGACAGGTACAATAAAGCTCCAACAGCTTCTTGGTAAGGAATTGATGCATCAGGAGCATCATTAGTTGCAATTAATTTAACGTTGGGATCGCCAGGAGAACCAATTGGTTTACAATTTTCCATGTGGAATCGTTTCAGTAATGATTTGATGTAAGCTGATTGCTTGATTTTAATTGATGAACGATCTGGACTCTGGATAATCTCCATACCTACAAAAACTTGAGGTGATTGAAACTTCATATCGAAGGCTTTAGATAAAGAATTAGTTAATTTTTCAAGTTCATTTTTGTTGGAACTAATTACAAGTCCGTCATCAACATAAATGACACAAATTGTTAGGAAATTTTGATTGTTAACAAAAATACATTGATCAGCTTTACACTGAGTGAATTTATGGTTGGTAAAAAACTCAACAATTTTTGCGTTCCACTGACGTGGAGCTTGTTTTAGGCCATACAAGCCTTTTTTCAATTTTAAAACTTTACCACTTTTATCATCGAACCCAACTGGTTGCTGCATATAAATTTCTTCATAAAGATCACCATAAAGAAATGCAGTTTTAACGTCGAACTGCAATAAATACATTTTGTTAGCTGCAGCAATCGAAAGTATTGCTCTGATCGAGTCGTAACGAGCAACTGGACTGTAAGTCTCAAAATAGTCGACTCCATATTTTTGAGAGTAACCTTTAGCTACCAATCTAGCTTTAAATCTCTCAATAGTTCCATCACTTTTACGTTTGATTCGGTAAACCCAACGACATGAAATTACTCGTTTACCTTTCGGAAGTTCAACTAGATCATAAACATTGTTGTCATTTAAAGATTTCATTTCATCTTTCATTGCGTTCAACCAATTAGCTGCATCTACTGAATTAATTGCTTCGTCATAACTCAATGGTTCCAATGAATTATCAGCAATAGAAGCAAGACACATGTTAACAAATGAATTTCCTTTTAAATTAAGGTTGGTAAGTTCATCCTCATCAAGTGGATCATAAATTATTGTCTCATCACTACCAGAGTCATTATCATCTTCATTTTCATCCTCATCATTGACTCCACATAATTTTCTCAAGTTAACAACTTCATCATTGTTAACACTTTCAATTGTAGCTTTACCATTGTCATCATTTTCAGAAAATTTCACATTACAGGTGACACTAATTTTGTTGGTAAATGGATCGTAAACACGATAGTTTTTTGTTGATTGGGTATAACCAATGAAGATACATTTCTTGGACTTTGCGTCCCACTTCTTTCTTTGTTGATCAGGTATTTTAACGTAGACAACGCAACCAAAAACGCGAAGATGGTCGTAACAAGGTTTTTTATTGTACCAAAGCTCATAGGGTGTTATCCCTTTATGTTTTTTGTTAATTACTAAATTCATTACATAGACAGCAGTGTTCATTGCTTCGGCCCACAGTCTTTTAGGTAATTTACTTCCAAATAGCATTGAGCGTGCTAATTCAGCTATTGATCGATTCTCTCTTTCAATCAAACCATTCTGTTGAGGAGTGTAAGGACAACTCAACTCATGAGTAATTACATTGTTTTTCAAAATTGTTTCAACCTTACTATTGATAAACTCAAGTCCATTATCGGACCTCATTATTTTTACCTTTGAACCGGTAACCTTCTCAGTTTCTTTGATGTGTTCATCAATTTTGGTAAAAGTATCAGATTTATGAGTAATAAAGTAAATTGATCGAAAAGAGCTGAATTCATCTTTTATAACTAAAGCATAATTCGAACCTCTAATTGATGAAACTTCCATAGGACCAACAAGATCACAATGAAAAGCTTCACCAACCTTTACTTCTCTAGGTACTGCAGTCTTGAATGACTTTGAACACATTTTGCCCTTCATACAGCCATCACAAACAAATTTATTAGGGTCACAATCAATCTTTATTTTAGGTAGCAAACCTTCTTTGGACATTTCAATGATTTTATGGACGTTGACATGGGCAAGTCGTTTATGCCACTCACTCAAAGAAGCATCTTTAACAATTAAAGCAAAATTATTTTCATCTTTTCGTGTCTTCAAATTTAAAACAAATGAATTACCAACTGGTCTACAAGTCATCAATACTTTACCAGTCTTACTATCAGAAATTTCAGTTCCTTCTAATGAGGAGAATAACTTGTAACCTTTTTTCATCGCTTGCATCCATGAAAACAAATTGAATTTACCAAGTCGAGGTGTGAATAGTACATTCTCAAGTTTACATTTATTCCACTTTTCACCATCAAAACATTCAGCTAATACAGTACCTTTAGCTATACCAGTAATTTTATTCCCATCTCCAATAGTCAAAGGTATTGGCTCTTCCAATTCAACAAATTCACTAAAACTATTAATGTCACTGGTACAGTGATAAGAGCAACCTGAGTCCCAATACCAAACTAACTCATTTGATCTATTTTCATGTGCTGTATAAGCAATATCATGTTCGTTACTCATTTCATTTTCATTGTTATTCAAAGCTAAATTAGCTTGTTGATCGTTATTTCTGTTTGGATAATTATTTCTATTGGAGGGTAAGTTAACATTGTTAGGACGTTGAAAGTTCCTATTTCCTCTGAAATTATTGTTGCTATTACTTGAGTGATTCTGTCTGTTATGATTGTTGTTGTTACTGAAATTATTGTTACTTCTGTTTTGATTGTTAAATCTGCTCAAATTATGTTTAAAGTTATTAGAATGAGTACTCCAGTTATTTCTATTATTGTTATTATTGTTATTTCGATTTGAATTATTGTTATTATTGCTGTTTGCTCTTCTTCTACAATCATTCTTTAGGTGTCCTTTAAGACCACAATTGAAACAAAATTTATCCTTAACATTATAATGGATTTTATTCGCAGGTTTGACTAACAAGGCTTCACCTTTCTTGCTTGGATTACCTTCATTCAGACGTTTCTCTGTTCTTAAAAGATTTGCTTTTAACTGAGACAAAGTAATTGAATCTCCTGTATCAATTCTCATTTCAATATTTTGTCGGAAATTCTCATAAATAATTGGTAAATCATCCAAAACTTTCATTACAAGATTTTCTTCATCAACATCAATTTTACGATCTTTATTTAACTTAATTGCAGTCTCAAGTTCGGAGAAATAACTAGCAACTGTGTGAGCCGAAGTGAACTTTACTTCAATTATTTTTCTCTTGACACTGAATGAGCTTTGTTTAGTTCGCTCTTCTCTAAAATTTATAATATTGGTAAACATTTCATGAGCAGTGGTAGCATTAATAAATAAACTTGTTAGACTTACATCTTCGGAATCAATACTAAGCATGATTAGTTGTTGAGCAGTGGAATCCTTGATATCCCATTCGTTGATTTCGGTGTTTCTTCTGGTGATGTCACGTTGAGTGAGAGTAAGAATCTCATCAGCATTATATTCGGATGGACGTGAAGATGAACCGTCGAGGACCTGAAGTATTCCTTTGGATTTACAGATGGTTTCGATGGATCTTTTCCAAACATAATAATTCGTCTTGGATAATTTAATCACTTGGATATCGTTGGTAATCATGATGGTGTTGTCAGTGATGGTTATTTAAAAAGATGATGTACAATTGATAAACACAATAGCCAATATTCAGGCTCACAGATTTTGTATCAAAATACTGAGACAAACAAACACAAGTAAGCAAAGCGTGACTGGGCCCATAACCTGTTGGTTATGATGGTGAATTCAATAAGGTTAAGATGAATCAAATAAAACAAAACACACGGTCAATATTCAGACCAAACAGACATGAAGTCAAAATATTCAATTTAAACAAGTTTATTCAAAATTGTTAAAGATGATGAAGAAGCAATTGACAGATTCAACTTAAGTGAATTAACACCAAGAGGACAATACAAAAAAGATACAGAAACTAGTTAAGTTCAAAACAGACTGAATACAAGACAAAGATACACACTGAGTGTTAAGGTGACATTTTAGGTATTTATAGTAGGGCAGGTAAGACAGCCCTTTTGAGTCCTCGGTGAGTAAGAGTTTGTTTGACGGTTAAGATGGACGAGTGGAAGAAAACCAGGAAATTGAGTTCCTCTAGGGATTTGTGTTTGTACGTAGCAAGAGGTTGAAAATAGCTTAAGTAGGTAAAAATGGTCAAGTTGAAGGGTCAAAATAGCTTCTAGGTTTAAGAGGTGAAATTAGATGTTGTAGTTAGTTAGATTAGGCCAATAGTAAATGATTAAAGAAAAGATCAAGTTATTAGGATGAATGGTTGAGGTACAGTGGGCACTTTCCCTAGGACTTTTGAGGGTTCATAGTTCATGGAGAAACTGAGGTTTTCTCATGAACTATGAGTCGTACAGGTAAACAAATGTTACCAACAGATTT